ATCAAAACTGTGTAACATTATGGAATAACATGTCGACCAATGAAGAGGTAATAATAACTGTCAAGCTTTGGGGTGTTGATCGACCTTATCTACGTTTTGATTATCATTCTGAATCCAATTCATAGTCTTTTTTCAGCTTTTTGTTCAAAATGTTGTTTATTTCTTTATTTTTTATTTATGAAACTTATCCACATTCAAGTGTTTAAAAAAAGAATGCATGAAGCTAGAATAAAATGTTTTTGTTTACAAGCAGATACCCTGTTATTTTGATGTTTTGTATTTTCAGATATTCATGTAACAAAATATATACAAAGTAATACCTAAATAGGGACATAGTAGTATACTTAAAGTATGAGGTAAAGTTCACTTAAAGAAAACTTACGAGTATACTTGCAGTATAAAACTAGTATAATGTAAACTAGTATTATATAAACTAGTAGTTTACTGAGATTATACTTCAAAGTGTACTAAAAATGCTACTACAATTATTTAATTAGTAAATTATCAGTATACCTATCAGTTCACTTTTAGTATAGTTGCAGTACAAGCTAAAAATTTTGATGTAAACTAGTTGTGTACTCAAAGTTTACTACTGTTAAACTTAAAGTATACTTTTATGTACTAGAAAGTGGGCCAATTTAGTCCCAAGGAGTTTTGAAATAGTACACTTACAAGTATACTACTAGTACACTGATATTTGTATACTTACTACATAAAGTATACTAAAAATATACTTGAACTTTACTTAAGTATACTTACTAAAACAAACTTGAAGTATACTACTTTTTGGTAAGGGTAATTATGAAGTCACAACTCTAGTCTTGGAGGATGTGAAAAACAGCAGGACGGGTTCTTTGTTTCCCTGTTAAACCACAAGTAGAAGAATACAGTGACGTAAAGACTAAAGAAAAGGGGAATGGAAACTTTTTGAAAACGAAAAAATGGTGGACTGAAACCTCATGTTTGTCTGTTTACAGGGTTTTACATCTTTGTGTGGATGTGTGCTACAGCGAGGAAAAACAGAGCGCAAACACCTCATTCCAAGTCTAAATCCACTCTGGACACCTCCAAATAAGCTCCTCTCATGCAGTTTTCTTACTAAAACTTTTAAAAACGACACCTACCACAACATGCAACCAAAAAATGCTTAAGAACATTTCATCATGGGCTGTTTGTTTAAAATTGTATTTTATTGTTTTTGCAAGAGAACTTCCTTTACACTAATAACAGTACATCAAAAAATAAAAAGTTTCCTCTTTGTAGCTGTACACATACTAAAACCTTAATCTATGATGTAACATATCTAATCTGAAACCTACTTGTCATATCTAACAAAACTATTAAAAGCTGTGATTTGTAAATAAAAATGGTAAATGCGCAGTTGTTCTATTATTAGTGTTTTTGAATTTAATAATAAATCTATAAGTCTGAAATATGTTTGAGCCTATTGGAAACACATTACAATAATGCCATTTTATATATGTGCATTTAAAAGTTTTATTGCATTTTTTGTGTAATTAGTCATTCGTTTAGAAATGTCTGGTTTCTTTTCACCGTAACATCACATATGTTTTGTGTTGGTAAGTAGAAAGCTTCCAGTTAAGCGTGTCATGGTTCTTCATGAAGTGATGTTAAAAACTAAGTTAGACAGGAAGCCACAGCGATCACATGAGACCAGCTTGAGTGGCTGACAGTGGCTACACGCACTAGGGGAACCGAGCATACGAAGAGAGAAATGAGAGGCTTGTACTATTTTGTCCTTTGGATATTTCCAATTTTTCCCTCCACAATACAGAATGAAACATGTGAGTATGAATATGCTCTACATTTTTACATTTCTGCTCTGAAATATGAGTATAATCATATCATTTTAACTCGAAAAGAGTGACTGTTGATTATAATCACACTTACTCTGTTGTGACGTATAATATTCAAATTAATGTTTTTATAAATCTGTGAATAAGGGTTGTGATAAAAATTTGGACTGACAAAATTTGGATCAATTTTGGATTGAATTTAATTGAATTACAATGCTTTTTACCTCCCATGATATGACTTGTTTGCAGGTGTGCCTTGTTTTATGGTTCCACAAATATGTACGAAGCAAGCTAATGTTCCATCGTGAGTTTTGTTATCTTGTTAATCTTGTAACAACCCAGCTAACATATATAGAATATATTCTAAGAACATTTTGCTAACTGCTAACTGACTTGGTGAAAACATTAAGGGAACGTTCCATTTGATCATTTTGCAAACATTATGGGAAAGTTACTTTTAAATGTTATCTGAACCATCTGAAACTAGTAAGTATTAGCAATGTATAAATAACGTTTTGAGAATATTATTAAAGACAAGATAACTTTGAAATGGAAGTTCTATTAATGTTACTGGAAAAGGCTTGTTCATAACTTTGAGAGAATCTTGTTAGAATGTCAGCCAAAGATCTGAGAACGTTCCCTGTTAGAAGTGAAAAGAAATACATTTTTACATTTTTAACATTTTTTTAGATGTCATAAATGTATGATATGGACAGGTTGCTTTGCTGTCAGGTCATATTTTATAATGTTTAGAGGTATAAAATATATAAAATGTATTTTTTAACAGGTGTATTGAAGATGGAATGAGAAATTGCTCATCTAAAGTTTCTAGGATGCGAGTTCCAAATTATTTCTCTAGACCAATTTCCTCAGAGGTAAGGTTCAAGACAGTGGTTACTGTCTGATTGACTAACTTCAAGACTAAAAAAAAGCCATAAAGCAAGAAATAAAGTTCAAGTGTCAGCAACATAGTCAGCAGTACAGGAAGATCAATTAGGTCACGCGCTGGATTGTGCCTTCACCGTTTTTACAGGAAATAGTTGATACAGAAAGAGGATATAAAATCCACGTCTCTGAAGAAGCATTACAGAGGAGCAGCAATAGACGGGGGGGAAACCATGAGGAAGTGGATTTGATTGTGTCTATTCTCAACGAGACTTTCTTCAGGGTCAGCAGCAGTTTAGACACCAAGGTACACAGAATTATTGTACGTCTGTCCCTCAAAGCCTTGTTTTATGTGATTTTATCTTCTTTGGGCAACATATGCATTTCATAACCTGGTGGTTTCTTCTTCGGACCATTTGTTATTGTGGTGTTGACAGAAGGGAAATGACTCACATGAGTCAGGCCCAATATTGCATGGGCAAAGTGTGTTGGGAGTTTGGCTTGGTGTGAAAGAAATTCGCAACCTTTCTCAGCCTGTTCAACTCAGATTCATAAACACCAATCAGGTAAAATGCTTTCACATCACACTATAATTGTAAAAACACACCGTGGCCCTTGTGGATTTTTTTTTTTGATGAGTTGCCTATTTTCACTTCTGTAAAAGTGTGCTTTTATTATTGCAGAGTGAAAACGGAATCTGTGTCTACTGGCATCTTGATAAAAATGGCAAAGGTCAGTATGATTTTCACACCATCAAAAATAAACCTATATATAAACAAATGTACCATCGTCCAGAATGTAGTTCATTCTCAGATGGTGGCATGTGTGGGGGTGTGTGTGTGTGTGTGTGTGTGTGTGTGTGTGTGTGTGTGTGTGTGTGTGACAATTTTTCATTTGAAAGTATTACTGCTATACTCTAAAGAAATAATATTTCCCATCTCGGGCCCAAAGTACCATGATGGATTTAGGCCCTCAATATATGCGTCATGAAATGCAGTTTCAGATTTTTATATAGTGTTTCTCAAGGTTAGTTTATAAAGTTCGCAAAGTTATAAACACTTAATATGGCTTAATGTATTAATTTGATCTTTTAATAGCACTATCTTAATACATTTTAAGCCATATTAAAGTGCCTCTATTATGCCATTTTTAAGGTTCCTAATATTGTTTTGGGAGTCTCCTACAATAGGATTACATGCATGCAAGTTCAAAAAACCCTTTCGTTTTCTCAAAATATGCATTTAATATCACCTAATTTTCCAGCGATTCTCAAACGATTCGTTCAAAGCAGTTCTAAGATTCAGTCTCTCTAAAACCCTCCTTTCCGTGAGCCTACTCTGCTCTGATTGGTCAGATGGCCCAGTCTGTTGTGATTGGTCTACCGCGTACAGCGCGTGTCAGAAACGATACGCCCATTGCCATAGTTCCGTATTTTGAACGCTTGATAGAAAATATAAACATCTGTTATTTATCATATTTGTGATTCAGTGGAGCCAGCTGGTCCAAATAAAGAGGGTACTGAGCCATCTTTCAAGAGCAAGCGTTTAGTGAATCCCGCATAACTCCCCGAAATTAGAGAAGCAGTCGTCAGTAAAATGACGTGTTTGTGGGCGGGGTCAAGTTGTTCGCTGCCGGCCAACGTAGAGCATAGGCGTGAATTATGCAAATGTGTTACTCCGTGACGTGTAGCCGTCACGGAAGTGGGATTCGAATTACTAATGACTCATTTAGGCTGTAGAGAGTCGATTCTTTATTTTGGGAGACAATAACTTTATTTATCGTGCACTTTCGGCTTTACAACTTTTATTATATTATATTATATTATATTATATTACTTTACATAATAATATATAATATACTTTATATAAAAATATATATTATAGTATATAATATCTATATAGAGACATTATTTCCGGGTCCAATACGTTGCTGTTTTTCGTGCAAGTCAGCAAGTCATTTACAGATTTTTTCCCCCCAGTCTTTGAAGTATATTTCGTACATTATTTCCTTTATTAATTTTTTTTTTTTGTTCAGTCATTTAATTTAGATGTGTATTTCTATTTTTTCTGCCTTTTTTAATGATTTTTCATTTATAAATTTATTTAAAACAACAACAATAAAAAACGAGTAATAAAGTGTACAATAAAGTACAATCAAATCCTTATATTATAATCACATTGCACTTGAATAAAGGTAAAGGTGTAATCTGCCGATTGTCCTGCAGGTGACCGCATAAATCTGTCTTCTTACAATGCACTTAGGGCTTTACGATTACTCCAGAGCACTTGTAGACCATGATGTGAGCCTACTCTGCTCTGATTGGTCAGATGGCCCAGTCTGTTGTGATTGGTCTACCGCGTACAGCGCGTGTCAGAAACGATACGCCCATTGCCATAGTTCCGTATTTTGAACGCTTGATAGAAAATATAAACATCTGTTATTTATCATATTTGTGATTCAGTGGAGCCAGCTGGTCCAAATAAAGAGGGTACTGAGCCATCTTTCAAGAGCAAGCGTTTAGTGAATCCCGCATAACTCCCCGAAATTAGAGAAGCAGTCGTCAGTAAAATGACGTGTTTGTGGGCGGGGTCAAGTTGTTCGCTGCCGGCCAACGTAGAGCAT